ATATGTGAGAGATGTGAACTTCTTAGACATAATAAGGGATATTTATTCAGTAGAAAATCTTTAACTTTATGGATGATTGTCACTTTAACATCCCACTAGTTTGGCAAGCATATGAGAATCTTTTTTACTGGATCGTTATTAGTATAAATTATGTCAAGAGATTTGGATAGATCTATAAAGTAAACTTTCATATATTGATTCATCATCTTTCATCCTAAATAGTGCATAGTTACATATTAACATGTTCGTCTTTGACTCTTTTGCTTTATTTTACCTCCATTAGTGGCTTTTAATTTGTCTTATATTTCCATCACCTGTTAATACTCTACTAAACTCATTTTGTAGCGCCCGGGGAAATTGAGAAAAAAAAAAAAAAACGTGTGTGCCACGTCAGCAGCCACGTCAGCAGACCCAGTCAGCAGTCCTGACCAACTAGGACCTGCCACGTGGCAAAACCACGTCGACCGGGGACGGGCCACGTTGGCGATCCGCGTGCGTGCGATCGGACGGCCCAGATCAATCGCGCGCACGGACGGTCCAGATTTAATCGCACGGACGGCCCAGATTAAATTAAAATGGACGGCTGAGATCAAAAGGCAAAAGGGTATAAATAAGACCCCCACACCAGACCCCAAACCCTAGCCGCCTGCCCTCGCCGGAGAAGACGAACCAGAAGCCGGCCGCCGCCACCCGCCGCCGCACCGGAGGGATTTCCGACCACCGATCGAGGTAAATTTCATACCCCCGACTCGTTTTTCCACGCTGATTTCCCCAGTGGCCAAATCGGAGCCAAAATCCCGGCCAAACAGCCAGAAAATACGGCCGAAAGCCAGCGGCGCCGCCGCGCCCCTCCTCGGTTTTTGCCTCCGATGAGGCCCTTCCCGGCCTCTGTTTAATGCAATTTTTATATCACCGTGATCACCATTATTTTCTCTACAGGTTGATCAGAGCCGAATCACCAAAACACGAACTTCACCGGAGAGCCACAGCACCCGAGAGCACCGCCGCCGGTAAGCTTCGGTTTTTCGTAAATTTTCGGCCCCCCGAGGGCCGTAGGGTTGTTTTATCGCAGGAACCAATGCGAGTGTGGCCGAATTCGGCCAGAAACAGCCGAAAACGGCCAACCCGAGGCGAACTGCCGCCGTGCCGGAGTTACGATATTGGCCGAAAGGGGCCATGTGCCTAATTTAGGATTTTTTGGAACACGTGCAGGTACCAGTAGTGCGTTTCAGTTCCCCGGAAAAAATTCAGGAAAAATTGGGGACAGCCTGTAGGCGCACTGTGAAGCCGTATTCGGACCCCGAAACGTGTAAGGACCCCTCACCCTATTTTCTATCACGGTTTTAAAGTTCAATAAATGATAAAACGGTATTTCATGAATCAACGAATGTGTGAAATTGCTTAAGGTTGCTAATGGAGCCCGAGTCTAGTGTGTTTGTCGGTTAACTATTATTTGGCCTGTTTTACAGTTTTAAATGCAGCATGAGGTTCGATGTTCTCATTTTATAGTTTCGTGTGCATATTTTACTGTTTTATTGATTATGGATTGAATGACCGGGATATTGATGTTGTATGTTGTCTTTTTGGCATAAATTATCATTTTGCTTGTTTGTATGTGATTGATAATGCTGACTGAGGGAAAAGGAGAATGAAAGATTATGTAAATGGAAATTATATAATGTGTTCAGCCTGACTAGACATCCTGGGAGATGGTGGACGGACCGGGTCCGTAGGGAACCCTACCGGGATTGTGGTCTCCCATACCGGACGGGGTATGAAGATCTTATGTGTTTTGGCGCCCATACCGGACGGGGTATGGGGACGGCCCTGGAATATGATTTCAAGTGTTAAGGGGTAACGGGTAGCGGGACCCCTATGGATCCCCATGGATACTAGTGGGCTGGTAAATGAGGAAAATATGTTGTGTAACGATTGAATTACGAAAAGCTTGATAGGTATTATGTTATACAGTTTATATATATGGTTTCATGATGATGATGATGTTATTGCTTTCGTATATTGTTTTATGAATTTCACCGAGGTAAGTGAATGGTAGAGGTTTTATTATTAATAAAAGGATTTGTTGTAAATTATGCTCCATTGGTCTTTTTGTATTTTCTACCCACCTTTACCTCCGTGACGGTGAGATATCGTGATGTCTTTACTGGGCTAGTGTAGCTCATTCCTTATTTAATCATTTCAGATCAAGAGGACATCGTTCCCGAGCCGGTTCCGCAGGAGGACGACGAAGGGGACGCCTAAAGACTCCATAGTCATATTCGTAGCTTTTACTTCCAAGTTTCTCCTTTAGGTAGTTTGATCTTTTATATTTTGTGAGCACGTTTTTTGTTTTAGTGTAAGGGATGTTATTCAAATTTTGACTTTACTTCCGCATTTGATATTTTTGATATACATTTCATTATGAATTTCTGGGGCTGTTACACATTTAAATCTAGGCTATAATATAAAATATTTATAACTTTTTTATTAAGTTGAATTAATCTTTTATTATTATAACCTCTTTTACTTTTTTTCTTTTATCACTACTTGGTAACTTATTTTTTTGGATGGGACATACAAACCATTTTTAATTGTTTTTATGAACCAAACTTCATAACCTAAATGAATATTTTTATTATGTAGTAGTAAGATGGATTCCATTAAATAAAGGTGGTTTGTTCGTAATCTATCCTACACTTAATGGAATTGTCATGTGATATTTTATTCTTAGATTATTAAGTTAGTTCAGATGAAAAAACTTGTTATAATAGCAATTGTTGGCTCAAAAGTTTTGACAAGCCAAGGAGAATAAACTGAATTTCTTTCTTTTTTACATTATCTCACTCTACAAAACTGTATTCTACATTATATACATGAATTTTTTATGTCAGTATTAATTTTAAAGATAAACTTGGTCATAGTTGATAAACAACTAATCCTCTTTTAATT